TGGGATGGGCTTCAGCCTCCACTCTGGACAACCTGAATCCTTCCTCCTTCCATGAGCTCTTGTTTGTTGCACCCTGGGGAGTGTCTTGCCTCAGTTGTCAACAATTTAAGACCTTGCTGTGGCCAACAGCAAAACCACAAAGTCTCTGTATGACAGTCTTGAGTTTTCTTTTTCTTTTCTTTCTTTCTTTTTTTTTTTTTTTTTTTGACAGGCAGAGTGGACAGTGAGAGAGAGAGACAGAGAGGAAGGTCTTCTTTTGCCGTTGGTTCACCCTCCAATGGCCGCCGCGGCCGGCGCGCTGCGGCCGGTGCACCGCGCTGATCCGATGGCAGGAGCCAGGAGCTTTTCCTGGTCTCCCATGGGGTGCAGGGCCCAAGCACCTGGGCCATCCTCCACTGCACTCCCTGGCCACAGCAGAGAGCTGGCCTGGAAGAGGGGCAACCGGGACAGAATCCGGCGCCCCAACCGGGACTAGAACCCGGTGTGCCGGCGCCGCTAGGCGGAGGATTAGCCTAGTGAGCCGCGGCGCCGGCCACAGTCTTGAGTTTTCTGTCCCCACCCCCCAGGGCTAGAATTCACCTGCTTGTACCTATCCCCACCCCCTGGGAGGCTTTTGGAGCAGAGCAAAAATGCCTTTTTCTCTAAGCCATCATCAAGTGAACAATTCCTGTAGCTTTCAGATCGAGAGATGACAATCCAGGGCCTCTGCAGCTCCACATTTTCACAGGTGAAACGAAAGACAATTTATCTTCAGAATTAAGGTTAAAAGCCAAGGCGTTAGAGGGTTAATATTTATTTATGGCCCAGGTCTTTCCGAGAGGAACTCGCGCATGACAATGGTAATATTGGAGGTAGCTGACTGACTGTCTGATGGCCCAGGGACGTGGCCCATGCTTGGCTCATGGCAATTCTAACCCGGACAGCAATCCTAGGAGGTGAGGCTGCTTCACCCCATCTTAGCGACAAGGAAAGAGAATCGGGAACACAAGGTGAACACACTGAATCACTGAGCGGTCCTAGTCAAGGGGGTTTAACTTCGCGTCCCTACCCTTCCTCTTTTATCTCTTTAAATGCAGTGCACAGGGATAAAAACAAGCATTTGCCTTGGCTGAAATTGCGGTGGGCTCTAGTCATTCATTTCCCCCTGCCCTTCCGCTGTGTTTAGCTCCCAGCGGCTTTTTCACATCTCATGGCCCCCTCTGAACATCAGGTCCCTTCCGCACGCTCATTCATTATCTGCCTGCTTCATTAACCAGTTTCTAATGGGGATTGTTAAGAGGTACTTGGATAAGAAAGGTCCCTCCCTCCCTCCCTTCCTCTCTCTCTCTCTCTCTCTCTCTCTCTCTCTCCAATTACAGCTGCTGTTCTCTGGCTCAGGAACTGGGTGTGTCCCCGGTCAGTAAGCTTTATGACAGGTGGAAGAGAAGTGACTACAAAAACCTCGTTAATACGAACGTGACCACCGCCTCCGTGAGGTCACTGGGCAACTGTGCATAAAAGCCCGGAGGGGCTGTCGTGTCTGCTCGGACAGATTGGAAAAAGGTTTTTATGTTTTCAGAATGAAACTACGTGACCATCAGATGTGTTCACTGAGTGACGAGTAGCCTGGAGTGTGGAAACTACGACTTCTTTGATTCTTTCTGTTTTGAGAAAATCTGCTGGAATTCAACATAGTGAGTAACCTATGACCGTGGTCAGAAACCGGGTTTCCTTGTTCTCTCTCCAGAATCTTCCTCCACTCTCCAGGAACTGCAATTGTGACCTCGCTGGCCTCTGTGGTACCACGATCAGTGTGCACGTGGTTCTGTCTCTAACGGATGCTGTGAGTTTCCATCTTCGCTGCAAAGCTTCTCCTTGTGGTCTCAGTACCCGGTTCAGACACTGGCAAAGAAAAGAAAATAAAACAAAATAAATACCTTTAGCTATCTAGAGAATGTTTCCTGCAGAAAACATAAAAAAGCTGATGTTTATAGAACACTAAATCATGAAATTATGCTAAATCATGAAGAAGCTAATGTTTACAGAACACTCTTTGAACAATGGCCTCTTGATTAAAGAGGGTTGGGAGAGGGAACCCGTCTTCTTGGTGAACCCGGAGTCTGGCTGAGGCTGCTCCATGCCGGCTCTGACCATGGTTTGCAGAGCTCCAACCAAGAAGCAATTCTTGGGCGGTCAAGTTCATGACCAGTTCAGGGTGTAACTGACATCAAGATGTTGCTTTGCCACATCCGAAACGCTGCTTTCCCATGATCAAGACTTCCAGTAAACTCTCCCTCTCTCATTATTGTTAAAAACTTGAGGCCAGGGGCCAGCGCTGTTGCATAGTGGGCTAAGCCTCCGCCTGCAGCACCGGCATTCCATAGGGGCGCCTGTTCTAGTCCTGGCTGCTCCTCCTCCGATCTAGCTCTCTGCTGCGGCCTGGGAAAGCAGTACAAGATGGCCCGAGTGCTTGGGCCCCTGCACCCAGGTGGGAGACCCAGAGGAAGCTCTTGGCTTTCTGTTTCCGATGGGCCCTGTTCCAGGCACTGAAGCCAGTTTGGGGAGTGAACCAGCGGATGGTTCACTTTCTGTCTGTCTCTCCCTCTCTCTGTCTATAACTCTGTCTTTCAAATAAATAATCAGAATCTTTAAATTAAAAAAAAAAGTGAGCCCACGTATTCCAAGCATCCTGTGTTCAGGGGTGAACTGAGGCAACAAAACTCCACTACCAGCGAGAGTCCACCACGCATTTGTACCCACATCTTGTTGCATATACACCCCATCTTCCCATGTACTTTGCTTTTCTCCTGGTTTTATAGAAACATTAAATAGAAATAGGATAATAAAATTCATGCCACATGAAGTCACACCCTGTAACATTTATAGAGACTCCGTCATTTTTATTTAATGGATGTCAAAGGCGCGACAGTGAGAGTTGCATAAAATCCCAGACTCCCGGCTGATCGGACGTTCCGACTTCAGGTCCCGCAGAAGCTGTTTTCATCCGAGTGTGATCGTCCACAGGCCTGAAGGTATTTTACAGCGCTGAAAACTCGCCAGAGAAATCCGATCTCCCCGGCGCTCTAGGGGCCTCTGTGTGACAGCTGGGCGGGCGATCAGTCAAGAGGGGAGAGGAAGAGAGAAGACTCCTCGGCTGGGAGTAGAAGTCAGACTCCTCGCTCCCCAGCGCCTCTGGTTCTGGTCCCGGGCAGCTCTGTTCTGAGGCTCTCCCAAGCTCTGGCTTTACCACGGAAGTGCCATGGGCTGGGCGAGGGGAGGTGGCTCTGGTTCCCGGGGGCCACCGGTGTCAAAGGACAAACAGTCTAACCTCTTCATCTTACAGACAGCAAACCAGGGGCTGAGGTGAGAAATTGGCTCCGGCTCTAGGTGAGACTGGCTCAGGGTAATTACGGAGGCCAGCCTCGATCCCCCCACACACGCACAGCCCCCACCAGCAGGCCTGCACTGCCGTGGCCTGGGTGGCAAGACCCGGCCACTTGGAGGATCAACTCCCCCAACTGTCCATCTGATGGGCTGGCTTGGGAGCTCTTGTTTCCTCTTTGTTTCCTCTGGTGCCCACACCCATCTCTAGCTCTGATCGAAGGTTCTGGGAGCCCTCGCTGTGGAGCAGAGGGCTACCTACTTCTATTGCCAGAGAATGAACCCCAAAGGCAAGGAGACACATGGCATCTCACAGCCGGGAAGCTGGACAGCACTTCCTGGGGGCTTCCCTGAGTGACGCCACTCAGGCTTGGGCTCTGTCCATATCTCTCCCGTGTTGGCTGCACTTTTAGGACATCTGGCTTTACGGCGGCTCCCTACACCACCCCTAGCTCATGGCCAACTAGCCCAGCAGTGTCACCAGAAAGCACGTGCCCCTTACTTGATCACTCCCGAGGGTTCTCACACCAGCACCCAGTGTGGGAGTCGGGCATCAACCTCACCTAAACCACAGAGGCTGAGAGCGGGAGAGTGAACTTCCTTAATAGCAGGCTGTTCAAGGTCAGTGCAAGGGGAAATGTAGTTGGACGGGGAACCCTAGCGGGCGCCCTGCCTTCCCTCTCTCATGCTGGCCTGTTGTCCTGTCCTTGGCTGCCCTTGACCTTGAGGCCAGCCCCGAAGCCTGCCGACGGGCCTCTCCAAAGATGACTGCTGGCAAAACTTTCCGTAGATCAGCTCCTTCAGCCTGGGGTTCACGGTCCTCCCTCCCACAGAGGCGGTTGCCCTAGGCCATCACCTGCTGTCGCCGTGCCCTTGTGACCCACAGCTCTGAACTGTGCACGGACAGCCTCTCTGCAGGCCCTTTGCTCTATGCTGGGGCGTCAACCACCTTGGGAGATCAAGCGGAGGAATTACCGCGGTGTGCGTGTGTCAGAAGGAGGAAGCAGAGAGCGGTGTTGAGGCTGCTGTTGGGCGTTGTTGGCGGGCACCGTGTCCTGCCATCCTGGGAGCCGGATCCTTGACATGTGGGGAAGCACCGACTTCATTAACTCGTGAGGGAGGCAGGGGCAGCCGGCCTGGGGGAAGGATGGTGACGGCGTGTTTCTCATCGAACCTGGCATGCGTGGGCTCAGAGAGATCAGGCGGCACTTCCCACTTGTCCGTGCGAGCCTAATTACTGACCTGACACCCGCAGCTTCAGACATGCCCGGGAAGCAGCTAACTGGAGGCTGGGACCATCTGTTGATGCTCTCCATCCACTTGTAGCCTGTCATTAGATACTCTTTTCCTCGATACTCTTAGAATGGAGTTACCAACCAGAGCACTTTAAAATGATAGGTAGTTATTTTTTGACTGCTTTTCCCGGCGAGGGAGAACTTCCCAGGTGATGTCACAATGAGCGCCGGGGAGAGACCTCGAGAGGAAGTCTTATCAGGGCAGAAAAGATTGTCGTCCACGCTCACGAGCCCTCAGGAATTAACGAATTAGTGGGGAAGCCGAGTCAATGCGTCCTGAGGAGGGGGGTGGTGGCGGACGGTGAGGAGTCAGGAGGCAGCACCAGGGTGTCCACCGTGGCCCCCCGTGGCTGGAGAGAGGGAGCTGGGAGCAAGGCTGGGGCTAAGCCTCCATCCGCTCAGGAGTCGGGAAGACAAGGGAGAGGCAGAGGGAAGACGGCAGTCCTGGTGCCCTGGACAGACCTGAAGGTGAAGACCCGGGACGCCCACAGACCCTGGCCCTGGTAGGGTCTGGGAGTGTAAGTGGGCCGAGTGGCGTCTTTGAGGCAGCTCCCGAATGAGCCGTTTTGGAGATGGAGGGCGGAGGCCGGCCAGGTGGCATGAGGGGTGTGGGGACGGGAGGGGTCCAGCCGCTGAGTGAATCCATTCTCATCTCTGCCTGAAGCAGAGGGGAGGCTTACAACTCAGAGGGGCTTAGTGACCCGCCCTGGGCTCCCACGGCTTGTGGGTGGTGCTACTCTGATTCCACCCAAGGCGTCTGGAATCTTCCATGAGCATTCAGATGGAGCCCTGAGTTCCGAGAGCTCACAGCATAAGGCGAGGAGGCAGCCGCCAGCCTCGCCTCCCACCAGCCCGATAGCACCTGTCCTGGGCGCTTGGGGACAGCGACTCAGACTGGGGGTGGGAAACGGTTAGTAAACTCCATGGAGCTCTCGGAGAGAGAGGCAGTGCTGCCCACCCTATCTGCATGGTCTTGAGGCCACGGAGTCGTCTGAGGACCAAGGACGTCCCTCGAGACCCCAAAGTGCTGGGACTACCTCTCCTGTTTCCCACATTCTCCCACGGCGACCACATCCACCCCCGCCAGGTCCCGGATGCAGCATCAGGGACCCTCCAGGCTGGGAAGGGAGCCCGGGGTCATCCGTGACCCCTGAGCCGGACGTCGGTCCCCAAGGGGCAACCTCATCGCTGAGCCTTTCCTTACATTACCTTCCTCATTTCCTCCATGAGCCTCTCTCTGTCAGAGCTCTGTCTTGGCCATGAAAATGATCGCGATTGCACACAGTCAGGGAGCTCAGCCTCACCCCAGGTCCTGGGGGGTCCTGCACACCCCTGTGTGGAAGCGTCCCCACACCCGGGGGCAGGGCAGGGGTCTCATCGCCCACGTATAAGTCTGATTTCTCACTGGCAACCCCAAACCCAAATGACAGTCAGCATAATGAGAATTCAAGAAATGGTTACTGATCGTGAAAACTAACGCCCGAGGCTTAAGCGCGTGGATTCTCTTTCTCCAGGTGTCTGCTCCGTAGTCCGCCTAAATGAAAGCGGCTTTCTCGGCAACACCAGGTAGGAATCATCCGTCACCCCGTAACTCTCAGAGCTGACCCATTCCTCTCTTGCTATGGTCTCCAGGAAGCTCAGAGTCCACCTGTAGCACAATGGAGGGTCACGGCTTGCATTTCGGGCTGCACACTTCAAATTAGCACTGTTTCTACCTTCCTACTATACTATAGGGTCGCTGATGTCTTCCTCTATGTTACACTGTAACCATATCAATTTAAAAAAAAAGAAATGGGGAGTTATCAACTTCTTCTTAGGTGGCCTGGCTGGGCAACCTCATTAAAATCCTTAGCTGTTGGCTGTAGATTCACGGTGTGCTTGTACATGATAACCTTCTCTCTCGTTCTCTCTGAGGGTCTCTTAGACAGAATACGGTATTACACACAAGCACATTCAGATGAAAACCCTATCGCCGGCGATAACTTCGAATGATAGAATCTTAATAAACTTTCTGTGTTTGATTGGCTGGGATAACGAGAGATACATATCATTGTGATAGCTGCAGGACAGGAGATAAGCCGGTCATCATTTTCAGATAAAAATGCCCATCCATCCACAGATTGCAATCAGGGGGCTGCCATGGAGCTCTTGGTCTATTCCAGTTAATTAAATGCTAAATGAAATTCAGCGTTCTGGCTCCTGCAGGTTGAACAATCTGTCGCCATGTGCTGCAGGCACAGGACGCAGGCGGAACAGGCTGCTGACGGGTAGTAGTTGCTCAAGAAATCCGCCTCCCACCCAGCTTCCTTCTCTTGAGGACGTCCCTGCAAAGCTGCGTGGGCTGAGGGCCGAGCACCCTTCCTCCTGGGATGGTGGCGGCGCCCCAGTAGGGCCGCGTGGGGCAGATGAGGGGCCAGGACGGACTCGCTCGGCAGCACCCGCTCTTCAGGGCCCGGGACCAGCCCGGGCGCCGTAAGCTGAAAGCACACTCACATGGAAGTGACAGAAGTGGACCGCGCCTGGGAATGCTCTTTGGGGGATGCGGTCCTGGCTTTGCTTTTCCCAGGAACCTGCACTGGGGGTCCCTACTGGACCTCGACGCCTGTTTGGAGCTGTAGAGTCCTTCCTTGGAAATTCACAAACATGGGCGCTTGCCGCCACGGCTGAGCACCAACGCTCAAGTCAGACGTGGAGTTATTCGGAGGCTTCGTACTCCATTTACCCTCACAACAGCCCTGCAGGGAAATTGTTGTTGCCCACATAATCTTGAAACTCAGAGAAGGCAAGTAACTTGCCTAAGGTCACACAGCTAGCATTTCCTTTTGTGTGTGTGTGTATCTCTTTATTTATTTATTTTTAAAAATTTCTATGAGATTTACTTATTTATTTGAAAGGTACACAGAGAGAGAAGAGGCAGAGAGAGAGAGAGAGAGAGAGGGGTCTTCCATCCACTGGTTCACTCCCCAGATGGCCACAACAGCTGGAGCTGCGCCAATCCAAAGCCAGGAGCTAGGAGCTTCTTCCAGGTCTCCCATGTGGGTGCAGGGGCCCAAGGACTTGGGCCATCTTCTGTTGCTTTCCCAGGCCACAGCAGAGAGATGGATGGGAAGTGGAGCAGCCGGGACTCGAACTGGCGTCCATGTGGGATGCCGGTGCTTCAGGCAAGGGCATTAACCAACTGTGCCACAGTGCTGACCCTGTGTGTGTATCTCTTTAAATCACAAGAAAGATAATATGTAATTACATATATTTATATGTAGAATGCTACTGAATGACCTCTACCAGGTCTTCCTTCTCCCCCCTCAAGGTCATGGACCCTCTGTGTGTCCCGTGTGGGGCCCCCGTGACAGGTGGCACTCGCTGTCCTTGCAAAAGTTCCTGGAAAATGGAATTTAAAGCTAAATTAATTTTGGTTCCAAAATTGTTTGAAATCTACACATAGGAGGCGCCTCTGTAAAGTTCATGAAAATGGATATTATGAAAAAACTGCATGGATTTCAGAGTTTTCTTTGCACCAGAATGAACTTATCTTTAACTCCATTTTCCGTGGGCCTTGCTTTTCGAAGGGGCCTCCCACGCTGTGGGGATTAGTCTCTGCACACAAGCATTCAGGTCACAGCAGCGGGCCGGTGACCGGAGGACCTGCACGTCTCCTTCTAGGGTTTTCCTCTTGCTGGGAGGGTTCACGCAGAAATGCAGAGAGAAACACACAGCTTCTCTTGACCACCTGAAGTCAACCAGCTTCCAAACAGAGAGTGCAGGGTCAAGGCAGAGAGCCTGGAGCCAACCCCGGGAGAACCCAGGGGCGGCCACCGCTAGGCCTGCGGTTCTTTGACATGACATCGCGGCAACGAGACGAGAGAAGGATGGCACAGGAAAGGAAACCGGGAAACTCTCGGACATTCAAGCGCAAGTTGGTAACACGAATTCGCTGAATAGAAGTGGTGGAAGAAAAGCCAGAGGCAACACCTGAGCAGAAGAAAAATAAAAAGAAAACGGGATTGTCTAGAAGCCATCCTGGAGGCCGAATGGGAGCGGCCGTGGCTGCCTCTGTACCCAGTCGCCCACGCTCGGTGGGGGCTCGAGGCAGCCTCCCACGGCTCTGTGGATTCCACAGAGTTCACTGCGGGCAGCAAGGCGTTGGCAGGGCTGGGCTCCTTCTGCAAGTCCTCCAGGAGCATCCCTTCTGTCAGCGTTCCCTGCTCCTGGGGGCAGCCCCCACTCCCCCAGCGTGGAGCCCCTTCCTCCACCTTCAAGGCCAGCTACAGCCGTCTGGTCCTTCTCCAATTTCATGACTGTGACCTCCTCCTCTGCCTCTCTCTTCCGCTTTCTAGGACCCCTGTGATGACACGGGGCTCCCACAGGTAATCCAGGGTCGTCTTCCTATATTAAGGACAGTGGACAGCCAGCCTTGGTTCCCCCTTCCCGTGCAGCCTAATCCCCCACCCCACCGGCTCTCGGCATTCGATCACGTGGACTCACCGAAGCCACGGAGATGTTCGGTTCCGTCGAGCCTCTTCGGTTTCATAGTCTTGACTGATTTGTTCATATTCCCCTTGGCTTTTCCACTGGACAGATATTCATGGGGCACCCACGTGTGCCAGTGAATGCAGTGGGCAGCCGTGGAGACCCCAGGGAGGCTCCTTCCTGCGTTTGCTCAGCTCAGGGCTGGCGCTGCACCTGCTGGCTCCGGCCCATCGCTTCTGGCCATCTTCTTGACTCGCCTGGGCTCTCCCTTCCTGCGCCTGAACCCCAACCCAGCCAGGGTCAGCCACTGCTGCGGGCTCCTGGAGGGCACCTCTGCCCATGGAACCCTTAGAACCACCCCATCGGAGCTCAGCGTCGCGGGTCCCCTCTCCTGAGGAGCTGACCGGCTTCTCCCACTCCGACGTTGGCTGCTGGGAGCTTAGGGGCCAGAAACTACACGAACCCTGACACCACAGAGGGCGGCTTCCTCCACGTCTCACGCCCCGAATCAGAGGCTTCCCTCCATGCCGTCGCTGTGTCCGCTATCACTACCTTGCGCCCTCGGCAGCCGTAGGTAGGCTGGGGGTCCATACGTCAAAGAGAGCCCTGGACAAGAGGTCACAGCTGTGTGCTCCCCACGGGGCTGAGGATGAAGATGAAGATGAAGATGATGATGAGGATGATGATGGCGTGATGAAGGGTCTGTGGAGTTCAGAACAACTGTGCATACATCAGTCCTGTGCTTGCATTTGAAGCTCACAGAAACCTTCGACAGCGGCCCTATATGCACTGCCAATTTGTTCTACAAGGAAGGGGCCAGACAACTAGTTGCCATCCTAATGCCCAGTTGCTGTGGGCCTGGACACCACTAGACCCGGGGACTGCTGTCCCCTGCATCCCCAGTCAACTTCTTATAAAATTTTTAAGTAATTGACCATTGGGGACTAGGGCTGTGTGTTTTTTCCTCCTGTTTTTTTCAGATAAATGATTTGAGTGCAGGAAGTTAGTGATGTACCCAACGCCACGAGACAAATCAGCGACAGCCACGATTTGAACCCATGTCTTTTGCTGCAAATTGAATCTCTTTGTACTGCACCCTGTGCTTGTTGGGACGCTATACCAGGCACCTTCTAAGGGGAGCAGCTGTTTCCTCGAGGCCCATTCTCTGTGCTTCTAGAATGTTCTGCAGACTGTGGAAGAGCTCGGGAGAAACCCCGACTTGTGAACCTCCCATTTCGGGACAGAAGGAAAGTGGGGACCTGAATCGCATCGCTGCATTTCTTGGAAGCCGTGAGACGCATCGGAGTAGCGATGCAGAGGCCGCCTAGCGAGCGCAAGGTGTCTGCATCCGCCTACTGAGACGGGCTCAGGCCTCTCCGGGTTTGTCCCCTCCTCAGTTTGCACTCGATCCTTCCTGTGTTCTCGCTTCAATTTCCCTTTTCAGTGAACTTGTGTTCCACACGCACCCGCTGGCCCTGCGGAGTCTGGTTAAGCTGGATGCGTAACACATTTGTATCTGCCCACAGCCGGCCCTTGTTTACAGTCTTGTGCTGTGTGCATAGGAGGTGCCCAGGGAGAGTGAACTCATCCTGGGGAAACAGCGGGGGCGTCCCCATCCACCTGAGCTCCTCTGGTGTGACGTGCGGGGCCGCTCGGGTCGCTGCTGTCCAGCCGCGGCGAGGGAGGCCGAGAGCTGTCTCCATGTGACAGCCATCTATCTAAGATTTTAAAATAACAGATTAGAGTGACATGGAAAGTTCTTCAAGGACAAGCGAGCTTCTGCTAACAAGAAGATTACTCTTCGTGACGTGCTCTGAACCTATTTGTCATAGTCTAATTATAGACCACTCAAGGAGACGGCCCTCCCGCTTCTCCCTGGGAGACTCCGGGGTGAGCAACTTTCGACTGAGGGAATGCTCTTTGGAATTCACACCTTTACAGATGGCCCCGGGTTTCTTCCTTTTCCGCTTAACCCAAATTGGTTAAACACCCACTAAATGCAAAGCTCAGCTCCACGCAGTGAAATACAGAACTAGAAGACGCAGCCGCTGGCGGGCTCAGTGTGTCCCTACGATAGATGCAAATAACTCGTCTTTCAA